AGAAAGAAGGTAGAGAAGAAGGAGTGGGGATGCAGTGAAAGGGGAAATGGGCGAGCAACACCAAAAGTCATGTGTATGTATTTATTTCATTAAAAGTATCTTATATATAAGAATGTAAAAAGAATGTATGTTAATATCTGATAAATATCACGGTATATGTATGGGGGAGAGTTTGGAAAAATAAAAAATAAATTAATAATTATCTATAAAAAAAATATATGGTACATCTAATTCTTAATACATAAGAATGTGACATTTATAGCTAACTTTCTGTCAGCCTCCATCTTTTAATAAAAAGTTCATCCCTTCATTTCTACGGTAAATTGTAGTACATTTGCAAACAAAGTATTTTGTAGATGGGGAACAATATTTTCAATATCTTTGCAAGGTTCTTGGCATCTTATTTTCACCAGCTGTGATTTTCAAAAATATTATATAAAATGATTAGAATGTGAAAAAAAAACAAAAACAGATTTTCTAGATGCTGTCACTTGCTGTGACCATCAAGGTATTAAGAGTAGATCTGAAAATTTAGATGAGAAATTTTATTCATATTCACCCCTACCTTCCACTTTGTTTCCAAACACCATGAAAAGTTGACCTCTTCCAAACACCATGAAACAAAGAGCTGGTGAGTAGACCATCTCTTCAAAACCTTTGCAGACTAGGAGAGCATAGGAGAATGTGTTTTGAAGAGAAGTTTTTGTGAGATCACAGAACAGCAGTCCATGTGGGTTTTCAGCACTAGAGACAGCAGAAATAGCTGACCTGCTCACAACCTGTCAGCATCTTTCAAAGGATACTAAATTCACAAACTTTCTTTTCTAAATCACATTTGGAAATTGCTTGTTAACTACCTTTCAACTATACTGGTCTACAAGGAGAAAGCCTCAAAAATGAAAGTAGTTAATTTTTACCAGAATTGGGTCACTAATAAAGGAAAATTAAGTCCTGAGTATTAATTGGTTCCAGTTTCCAAGATACAGCTTCAGATCAAAGTTGCATCAAAATAAATCAAAATTATGAGGCGGATGTGTGATTATGCTCCATAACTTTTCTGCAAAATGCGATATAGCAATGAGAATGGTACCACAACAATCATTATAAATTTATCTTTTTACTGACAGCAATAACATAACTTTCCATTCATTTATTGGTTTTTCATGTAACATTTTCATGCTTTTTGGATGAAAAACTGACAAGCTCTAACATCAGACATCACTCTGCAAGAGGTTCCACTGTTGTAATCTGGAGCCCAATAGCTCTGCCTTACTGTTAGGCAATTCTAAATCCCTGACCAGGTCATTCAGTTCACTCTGTGAAATTAGATGTAGTTCAGGAGGAGCATATGGTGGACTAAAGTTTGAGTTTGTTGACACTGACGGCTCTGGATCAGCTGCATCCTGCTCATTATCTTTATCATCATCTGAGTCTAGAGAGTAGGATTCTGGTGGATCTGGACTTGGCAAGTCCTCACCATGGGGTACAGGAGGCAGTGCAGAGGGAATGTTTGGATATTCCATGATCCACTTCTTCTTTCTTCAGATCCCTTTTGCAATTGGGGAAGCCATTCAAAAAGAGCAGTTGCTTCTATGATTGGTGGGTTCCCTCCACACCATTGAGACTGTGAAAGGCATGGACTTTTTCTTCCTGTTTAGCCAATGACACAAATAAGTTGCACATGTAATGCAACAATAATGAGGGGCCCAACTCCTTACATTTGAGATGCAAATGTAACCTCACCACAAATGTAGCAGAAGTTATCTGTATTGTTTACATGGTTTCGAGGCATCTTGGCGTCTGAGGGAAAATATCACGCAACTGTTCCTTGGAAATGTTAGGCAATGACACTTTCACAAGCCACCAGATATAACTGAATGATGTGTAGATCTGACCAAGACAACTGTACCTTGCAATAAAAGAACAATAAATTACAGTTAGGTAATAATCTTTAGTCTCAAAGTGAAGATAAATTTATACACTTCCATGTGGTACCATTTTCATTGTTCTACCATACTTTATCAAGAAGTTACGAGGCATCATAATGAAACATCTCCCTCCCTTGTAGGCAAATATACTTTCCTTGTATAAATCTTTATTGTGATTATATCTTGCAAACTTTAGCCAACCAGCACCTTTACCACCTGTTTTCTAATTCCAAAATATGTAAGAATTAACACATTTTATCTTGGAGGTTGATAATTTCCCAAAATTTGTAG